TGAATCGTTGGGGATATACATAACCGAAGTCCAGACTTTGATTCGTCGTCACGGGAATATCTCTCCTGCTAACGAATTACAATGGCTTTACCGAAACCTTCTCCCTCAATACCGGCAATTTATTAGAAGAACAGTTCTTCATCAGTTCTACGACCGTCTTCGACAATAATCTTCATCGACAGTTAGTTTCCGAAATACCCGTATTTCAAATTTACCGTAAGTCCGATTTATTTTGATAGACTTTGATTTTATTTTGTTGTTAACTTTCATTAATTTTTGTGCATTTTTGTCCCAACCTTAATACTCTTGGAAGGTTCTTCGAGTGTTCCGTTCCTTTACACCTTAGGAAGGTTTCCAGGTGTATTCTATATCTCCGCCTTATTTCGTTTTTTTCGATTAAGTTCATTTATTTTAAAATCGAAGTCTTGTCAATTTATTCCCACAGTCTCCATTCTCCGACCGTGTTAAAATTAATAAATCGCTCTCCTACTTCGATTATTTTATTGTTAATAAAATTTATGATTGTTATTTGAAAGGAAGAAGAAAACAACAAAATTTTGGAAACAGAATTTTGTTGTTTTCTTCTTTCCCTTACCGAAAACCTGGATTCTCCGACTGTAGCTCCAAAAAGTTACTTAGAGGCGAAAGAGTTCCTTAACTCTCTAAACATAAGGTGGCGCCCGAGACCGTTAACATCCCGAACGTCTGGAAGGGCACCAAGACCCCTTTCCTAAATCCCGTTACCAGGAAAGGACGTCACAGACTTCACACCCCTACAACACATTTTTACGAAAAAATATCTCACCCACAAAGTTCCACAGAAGTAGAGGTAAAAAACAGCCTTAAAATCTACAATGATGGTTCAAGGTCTTCTCGTACGATCTCCGACTCCACGTATCTGAACCTCTAGGTAAAAGTACCACCGTCATACAGGCGGAGTTAATCGCCATACAACTTGCCGCTGACGTTATTGTCAGATCCAACTTGGTAGGTAAAACTTTTACAATTTACACTGACAGTAGACAAGCTATTTTAGCCCTGAGTAGAATAATAATTACCTCAGGACTTGTTATGGGTTGTCATCTGACATTGAAGAAGGCCGCAGTGCATAAATGTGTTATACTTCAATGGACAAAACGACACTCGACTTGTTCAGGTAACAAGCACGCTGATAGGCTTGCCAAAAGGGCTACCAAGAGAGCGCCATGTTCGCCTGAACCGATAATCGCTCCGACCTTATCAACTCAGATTAAGATAATTAAAGATTTTACCCACAAAAAGTTTATAGACTGGTGGGATAAGGTTAAGGGCTGCCATCTGTCTAAGGAAGTATTACATTATCCCTCAGCAGAGGCAGCCTTGTCTTTCGTAAGGCTTGGTAGAAACGTTCTACGAACTGTAAAGGGACTCGTCACGGTCACTGTAAGGTAAACAAGCATATTTATAACCTTAAGCTTGCGACAGAGAGGACTAACACTCTCTGTCGCCTCTGTAAAGAGAGCGAGGAGACGGCTCGACACATCTTGTGTGAATGCCCCACTCTGCAAGATCTCAGAATGAGAGACTTTGGAGAGGAATGGCCGAGCATCAGGAACACACCTCTGAGCTGTATCCTAGCCTTCGGAAATTCCTTAAGCTGGTTGATGTAGCCGGAGAGAGTGTAGGAGGTATGCGGAAGCATACCCCCCCTTTCCTACATACATACAGAGAAGTTTGCTTGTACAGACCCCAGTACTACCAAGAATTTATGGATTACCTAAAATAATGAATATAAACCAGATGACCCGCTACACCCTACTGTCAGTGGCATAAATTCTCTAACGTATCAGCTGATGAAACACCTTACCAAAATTCTGTCCCTTTTTACAGGAAAAACAGAATCATATGATGGTTTCCGCCAAAAACTCCAAAGACAGTGGAGTGCTGTTTAACATCTCTATATTTTAGCTGGAAGAGAGATTTCTACGAGTAATGCGAATCAATATTAAACCGAACCAGCCATGGGATCACCTTTGTCACCGGTAATCGTCAATTTCTACATGATGATGTTTCAGGAAGAAGCATTAAGGAAGAATCCGTGGAAACTAAAGCTATGGCTTCGTTATGCGGATGATACATCTGTGATCTGACAGCAAGGAAAACAGCGTTTCCACGAATTACAAATCAGTTACCTTTCCTGGATGTTTTGGTCACTGGGAGTATATTGGAAGAAGACACACACGAACAGGTATCAACAGGCTTCGTTCCATCACCATCCACAACAGAAGACATCAGTTATACAAGCCCTCTTCGGGTAGCAGAAAGGATACGCAATGATGTTTATTTTATTTTAATTTTCAATCTGTACTACACGTGTTTCGTTTTTTTCATAAAAGCGTTATTAGGTACATATAAAGTGATGTTCAATATTAATTAAAATAATTAATATTAGAGAGATCAGATTTATGTCCTGTTTCAGTTAAACGTTAGAATTATTTTTTGAAATATGTTCTTTATATCTAGTTTTTATGTTACGTCCCGTTTGACCAATGTAAAAGCAATCACAGTCTTCACAATTAAGTTTATAGATGCCACTTTTAAGGTTTTGATCGAATTTATGTTTATTGTTGACAAGCAATTGACCTAATTTATAGTTGGCAGAAAATACAGGAGTAATTTTATGAAATTTAAAAATAAGAGTTTTGTAAGTTAGGATGAAAAGGAATAGAAACAAATTTAAGTTTTTCATTAATTCTTGGCAAGATCATCTTATTGGTAATATTGTTATGGGTTTTATTATATATGTTTTGAATTTCTTGAAGAGAATAACAATTATTATTTAAGCCGATCTTGATTATCTTTTTTAGTTCAACAATAAAGTATCGTATAATGTTGTAAGGGAAACTTGAGGAGTCTATTAAAGAGGAAACGAAATGAAGCAAATTTATGATGTGAACTGGAGAAGGAGAATTTCGGGATAATCGTATCAGTGGCTGTGTCTTTACGGTATATGTTGAAATTAAGTGATGACCTTGAAAGGTCCTTGGAAATAGTAACATCCAAGAAATTAATTTTAGATTCTTTTTCCAATTCATTAGTAAATTCAAGTACACTAATGTTGTTAAAGACATTGGTAATTGAGCCTTATTACCATTAAAAACAATCAAAATATCATCAACATATCTCTTATAGAAAACTATATCCTTGGTAAACAAGGAATATTTTTCACAAAAGAAAGTCTCCTCAAATTTGTGCACATAGATATCAGCCATGATACCGGAAATTGGAGACCACATTGGTCATACGATAATGTTTGCCATTGAAGATAAAGAAGTTTTGTTCACAAACTTAATTACAGGAGCAAGACGGAAAATATCTTTATAATGAACGTTATTAAATCTCTTTTTATTAATACAAAGGAAATCTTCAATTATGTTAATGCAATCATTAACAGGAACATTAGAATATAGATTTTTTATATCGAGGGAAACTAAAATTGATTTATTATTAATTTTGACTTTAGAAAGTTATTCATGAGTTCTGAAAAGTTTTTAATAGTGTAAATAAAATTTTTTTAAAAGTTGTTGTATAAGAATTTCTGTAAATGTTTAGCGATAATTTCATTAGGCTTATTTCGTTATGCTTTGTTCAGGTTTATGTAGTTTAATAAGAGATTTGAGTGTAGGAGACAATGGGTTCATTTGGGTAAGGAGATTCGTGTTGATATCGACATTTTTTATACTTTCTTTACAGGTATTAATAAGTATCTTTAGGTTATTGTTGTATTTAAGTGTAGAGTCTTTGTTAATGTGTTTGATGTTGTTCTGTTCAAAAAATTAATAGGTTTTGAAGATGTAAGCCTCTTTAGGGATAATAACCAAACCTGCATTCTTGTCTCCTAATGTGACAATCAAATCTTTATTATTAATTTTTTGTTTTAACATTACACTAACATCCTTCAAAGTGACTGAAGACCTATTTTTGGAAATTTTATTAGCTTTTGAAATTATATTAGTAAAGTTTCTATGAATATCATTAAGAAGGTGTAAATCTCTGTGAACCTTTCTCTGTTTAACTTTATTTTTATCTTTACAATTTCTTTAACGCTCACGTCAGACCGTTTCGAAACGTGATAACATGTGCTCGGCTCTCATATTTTAAGGTAATTTTAATCTTTAATTCTTTTAATTAATATTGAACATCACCCAATATTGACGCTTTTATGAAAAAAGCGAAACACGTGTAGTACAGATTGAAAATTAAAATAAAATAAACATCATTGGGGAGCAAAAGATTAGTTCTTTTTGTATTTTTAATTTATCAATTTACACAATGAATTTGGAGTTAACCATCGCCGAAAGGATACGCGACGAGAAGAATTTAAGAAGGATTTCTAGAAGATGTACTTCAGAAAACCGGGTACAACCTTTCAGGTTACTGCCAAAGGTTGTCTCTGCCTCCCTTATGCTTCAGCTGTGACGAAGCGGATTGCAAAGAGTCTGAAAGAGAACGATATCGTGATAGCTAATGATAAATTAACCCTATTACAGGGAGCAGCAGTCTATCGGCTATCATGCAGTTGTAGGAAGTATTACATTAGCCGAACTGGGCGAGTGCCCTATCAAGGAGGATGAGAGGGATGACCGACTATATAAGATCCAGCAATCGACAGTTGCAAAACATTACTACTTACATTACTACTAGGAAGAAGCCTTAGATTTCGATAAGACCAAGGTGCTAGTCTGAGCCGGAAATTATTTCCAAATGATGATAAGAGAGGCGATAGAGAGCACATGGAAAATTAACTCGTTGTAGTCTTCACCACACAGATTTCGTCACCTCGAACTTGTTTCTGAAGAAGGTTGCAACATGGCATTCGAAACGTCAAACACTTCTTCAAAAGACGTATGGCTTAACCCAAAAGTTTCTAGATCTACTGTGAGTTCTAGTGATAGTGTTAGTTCTAGTTTTAGTTCAAAAAATTATATTTATTTGCACTAAGTATTTGTTAATAAACTTACGAAACATATTTTCCAGTATCCAATTGTAGAATAGGAACATCTAAAACTTTTTCCACCAATAAATCATTCGCTTTAAAATTATTTATATCACCGGGAATGAAAATGCTTGGTTGATAAATTCTTAATACACCACTATGACTTCCGACTATAATGTTATCGCGGGACCCGTTTAATTGTGAAATTTTTAACGCGTTTTGATCGAACTCTTCCACATTGGAATCCGAACATTGATTTGACCATAATTCTTTCGTTTGAAATAAAGACATAACTTAGAAATGAAGTAAAAGAACGAGTGTTAGAAAATTATTGATTAATTTTCGCTTGAATGTAAACAAAAACCGATCAATAATGGAAAACATTAAGAATTAAAAAAAGACAAAGAAAGTTACTAAAATATCACATATATTTTTTGTTATAACTTGGAAGATGCCTACATAAAAGGACATTCTTTTCATTAATATTTTCCAATAATAAGTATATTTAAGTAACACCTATCACAATCACAAATAATTAAAGGTAAAAAGAAATAAAATAATAATAAAACACATAGATAAATTATCAATAAACAACCGTTTCGTACATCAAATCAATTATAATTAATTACAACTTATGTTAATGTAAATCAAATAAAAATTTTACCTCAGGAACTCTCAATGGACGAAGTAACAATAAACACATTTTTATTGAGAATCGTTCGAATTCAAACGGGATACATTTTTTGTCTAAAAAATATTTATTAAAATTATGTTTTAAACAATTAATTAATTAATTAATACCTTTTTTATAGGTGGATTAAGATTAACTGGTGTTGGAGGTAATGTCAAGTCGTTATTTGGCGACAATTCATAAAGTACATTTGCACTGGCTAATTTCATGCAATCCTCAAGCGTTTTTATAAACGTATCACAAGTTGCTGTTAATAGGCTAGTAGCTTCATCTATTTTCTATAAAAAAATTAAACACAAAACAAAACATTGTTTTTATTTTTAAACTTATAAATTTATCTATATTAAATAATTATCGCATAAAATAAAATCTTAATTAATCATAAGTACCAATACCGATAATTATTTTTTATTGCGATTTAAATCAGAGTAGATATAATCAATTTAATGGTATTAAAAAATTGTTTACTTACAGCAATTTGAGGACCATTTTCATTGATAGTCGCAGTTTTAACTACATGTACTTGTTGCATCAATAAATCACAATATAATCTCAATTCAGATTTTTTAGATTTTAATGTGTCTGGATTAGTATCTGCTAAAATGATTCACCTTATATTATATTTCATAACATTAATTAAAAGAATATATTACAGTTACATCAACAATATAATTTATGAAAAAATTAATATCACAATCAGTGCAATATTATTATTCTGTCAGGATCAACCACAAAGATGAGTTCTGCAATTCAACCTATGTCTGTAATTGACTAATTCCGGAATTTGGAGCAGGGGAAAGGGGAATGTCCCATTGGGACATGAGGCACAATGGGACATTTTAAATTATGGCGCCATTACTTGCTGTTTTTACTTTTAATAAAGTGTACCAGAGGACAATACCTTGCTTCAAATTCTCCAAACGTTTCGCGCTGTTTTGTGACGTACGGAAATTTTTATTCAATTTTAAGTGTTTTATGTTAGTTGCTGTAAAAAGTTGCATGAAAATTGGTAAGTGAATATTTTCTATATTTCAAGCAAATGGTTTAAAATCAATTAATCACTAAGAACACACAATATTGAGACTTATGTTCATGGTTTTATTTATTGTATAGACCTAACCTATTATTTTGCAAATGATCTTATGTTCAATACAGTCAGTGGGGGCACTTTGGGACAAAAGGTAAGGGGCACATTGAGACTGTTCGAATGTGCCCCCGCCTAATAAAATTTGTTGATATAATTAAGGAAAAAAATGTTTCAGGACTCGGTTTCAGGACTAGGTTCAGGACATAAAAAATGGTCCGTACGTACAAGAGAAAACCAGATCGTGCTTCCATATCTGAGGAAGACATTGTTGCTGCAGTTAAAGATGTTATTGATGGAAGGTTACCAATAAGAAATGCTGCAGCAACACATAATATCAAGAAATCTATCTTAGTCAACAGGTTGAACAAAGTCAAAAAGCGGAAAGCAGAAGAAAACAGAGATGGGGAAACAGAACAACTTGCTGCGCAACCGACTGAAGATGATGAAGGAGAGGAAAATAATAAAAATAACAACTTGCCGCCTGAGACCACTAATCTTGCCACAGTAGAAAGTGATTCAAACGACCTATTTCATTGGCCATTTCAGTCGAAATATAGCACTCAACAAGTTTTTACCGCAAACCAGGAACAACAATTGTGCGAGTATCTAATGCAAAGTTCAAAAATAAATTACGGGCTGACGTATTCGCAAGCTCAGATACTAGCGTTTTAGTTTGCTCAAAAACTTAACAGAAAATACCCAACGAGCTGGGATAAGAACAAGAGAGCGGGCTTGGACTGGATGAAATCTTTCATGAAAAGTATGAATTGCGAAGAAAGAAGAAACTTAACCAAAAACAACACTCAAAACAGGGAAATAAAACTAACTACCATACATTCCATGGAAAATATACCAACATTTCAAATATACAATTTAGCAATACAGAGAAAAATCCTCTGGAGAAAGGAGAAAGATACGCTATTCATACAAAACCCAATTTCAGACGCGCCGCAATAGAATTAGAAGCCGCAATTAGAAGATACCCACAAGAAGGAGACATTACGAAAGACCTGAAACAAATATTAACTAGGGAAGAATCCAGAAAAAAGAGAAGGAGAAAGGATAACGAGAGGGAAAGATTGAGAGAAGAGGAAATGGAGACCATAAAAAAACATAAAACGGAAGATGATAGAAAATAAGGTAATTTGCATTAAGGCAGACAAAAATGCTGAGATGGTTTTCATTAATGAAATCGATTACATTAACAAAACGAACTTATTTCTGACAGAGAATAATTTTCAAAAATCCACAAAAACACCAAATAAAGATTTTTATACATTAGTAAAAACAATAATTAAAGAAACAAGATCTACACTCATTAAATTCGATAATAAAAATCTTTATGGAATAATCCCCATGAACCCCAAAATTCCGAAAGTTTATTCTTCACGCAAATTACACAAACCACATTGCCCAATCAGACCTCTCATATGTTCAATAGACTCCAGCACATATAACATTTCGAAATTCTTGGTGTATTTCTTCAAACACTTCATAGACTTTCAACCAGCACATTCTATCAAGAATCGTAACGAATTAATATCACATTTGAAAAACATACAACTACCTGAACAATACACAATCCTCTCTTTGGACAAGTTAATCTATACACGAATGTACCTACAAAAGAGACTTTAATAATTATAAAGGAATTTTCGAAAAATAATATCATTGATCAACAAGATGTCAATAATATACAGGATGTATCTGAATGACTGCAACAAACTTCAAGGGTGATTCTTTAGTGAATTTTAAGGGTACTTTGATATATGAACCATGGGCGACTTCGGCTCCCCTAAGGAGCTACACCCCTCCAAAAATGGCGGAAAATTTTGATTTAATTTCTTTTTCTCAAAAACATTAAACACTAGGAAAATGAAATTAGGGGAATATGTTTAACTCATAATAGGGCACGTTTTGACCCTATTTGTACTTTCAACCTATCGTTCTAAACTACTAAACGTAACCACCCCCGTTCAATTTATGCCTAGATTTTTTGTATGAAGATGATAAATACATTGGAAAAATTTCAGTTAAATAAATAAAATGTATTTATCATCTGCATAAAAGAAATATTAGCAAAAATGTAAAGGGGGTGGTTACGTTTAGTAGTTTAGAAGGGTAGGTTGAAAGTATAAATAGGGTCAAAACGTGCCCTATTATGAGTTAAACATATTCCCCAATTTTCATTTTCCTAGCGTTTATGGTTTTTGAGAAAAACAAATTAAACCAAAATTTTCCGCCATTTTTGGAGGGGTGTAGCTCCTTAGGGGAGCCGAAGTCGTCCATGGTTCATATATCAAAGTACCCTTAAAATTCACTAAAGAATCACCCCTTGAAGTTTGTTGCAGTCATTCAAATACACCCTGTATACAAACTATTTGATATATGTCTTAAACAAAATTTCTGTCTATTTAATGAATGCCTTTATACATACCAAGAAGGCTTACCGATGGGTTCTCCACTTAGTGGTTTAATTCCCGAAATCTTTTTAAACAATTTAGAGAATAAATTTATTATAAACTCACATAATCCGTTTCATGAACATATTCTCATATGGAAAAGATATGTTGATGACATACTGGTCATTATCAACACCGAAGATACCACGATAATTAATCAGATTCATAATTATATTAATCAACTACACCCCAAAATTAAATTTACAATGGAATTGGAAAATAATAACCAAATTAATTTCTTAGACTTGAATCTGAGAAGAGAAAACAAATCCATATTGTACAATATATACAGAAAACCCACCCAAACTATGGCTATTATAAGTACGCAGCTTTCAACGCTTTATATTATAGAGCCTTTAACTCAAACCTCGATGCTACCTCACTAGAGAGAGAACTTAAAGTCATCGAACAGATAGCTGTAAATAACAAATATCCTGTGAATTTCACCGATAAAGTACTTAACAAGATAAAAACCAAAATTTTCACAACACAAAACACAACTTTAACAATCCAAAATACACCTAAAAACAAAAATATAGAGCCATCACATTCCAAGGTAATTTAACCAATAAAATAAAGACAAAACTTAAAGAATATGATATTAATTTGACCTTCAAAAATAAAAATACGATATATAAACTTTTATCAAATACTAAAGGAAAGACAGATAAATTAGATGACAATGGTATATATAGATTAACCTGCAATACATGTCAAGCTACCTACATCGGAGAGACAGGGAGACCCCTAAGAACCAGAATTAGGGAACACAAAAATAAGGAAAAATCAAACTTTGGAAGACATCTCATATTCAATAAACAACATGAATTCGACGAAGACAAAAACTCAAGAATAATTCACCATCTCAATAAAGGAGATCTCATGGAAATTATGGAGGTCTACGAAATCAATAAATTCAAACATAATCATCCCGAAATTAAATGTCTGAATAACCAAACACAAGCAACACAGATCCCACTATACCTTAGTCTGAAACAGCCATTTACACCACCACCGAAGAATCCACCTAATATTATTACAACCTAAAAAACCTAAAACACTCACAAACCAACCCCATCCTCTCCAAAATTTCTTTATCCTTATTTACTCAAATGCACGAGAAATTTTAAATATGGTAATGTTTAAACTTTGCAATTTTTAAGTTCCTTGTTTACCACTCCCTTCCCTCTCCAATCCTACATATTTCCACCCTAATTAGATTAATATTATTATATTAATAATATGAAATGTTCAATTAGCACCAACTTAAACTTATATTTTCCACCAAATTTCCGAGCATCTTAACCCTACTTCCTGTTTCGGTCTCTTGCAGCTACACGCGTCTCTTACGATCGATCTTTAATCGTTTTATATTTTTCTTGTGATTTAACTGTTTAATGTATCTATGGATTGTTAATCTGTCTTCGTTTTGACGTAAGTTTACTCTAATATTATAAATTTACTTAATTGATTTATTGTAATATCTTAACAACTGGAAAGAACCTTATAATTTAATAAGTTTTAATTTTTGTATTTTAAGGATTCTCCTGATGATGCAGTTACTTTATAAACTGCGAAACCGGTAGAGAAAATATAAATTAATACGTTTATAAGTGCACAACATTTGTTTTATTATTTCATGAAAAGGTTCAGCAATCTCAGTTTAAGAAAACCTGAAAACACCAGACTAGCCAGGGCAACAGGATTTAACGAAACCAACGTGAAATAAATTTTCGATAATCTGCAAGTTGCATTAGAAAAATATAAAATAACACCAGAAAATGTCTATAATCTTGACGAAAGAGGGGTCACCACAGTCCTTCAGGCACCAACAGTTATTGCTATGACGGGAACTAAGCAGTGGGGCAAGTAGTTTCAGCCGAGAGAGGAGAACTGGTAACCTTTTGTGCTATCATTAATGCCGGCGGAAGTACAGTACCACCGGTGTATGTCATTCCAAGGGCTAAAAACAAGCCGGTATTTATGAAAAGTGCGCCTAATGGTAGCCTAGGATTATCCAATAAATCAGGATCCGGTTGAATGACGGCATCTTTA